TGCAACCAATCAGAAAACAGGATTCTAGTTTGAGTGGTTCGTGAAAATGCACCTTTAAGTGCAAACATTTTTGGGGATTCAAAGCGAACAGACTTTACGTTCTCCCTTCCAGCTTTCCACCATCATAGAAGTTGTACAGCGATGATTTGTGCTTATTATGTGTATATTTATTTAGGAAAATTACATCAAATAACGTTTTCCTCAATATTTGAGCTAGACAATTTACATTTTTATTACGAATAAAACGCACGATATATCCGTGTTCCAATATCATAACTTTGGCGTAAATTGGGTCGTATAAATGTAATATCTAAAGTTCACTGTTGACCTGTTTACATTCAGCTTGATAGGAATAAGATAACTCTAAATGTGTAAACGCGACTCACTCAAGTAGGAGTTATAATAGAGTGTTACTAAGTCGAAGTTAAAAACCATATAAATGTACTAACTAAATGATAAACATTTTACATTACCTCCAACACTCCTGTTTCTACGCTTCATCTAATTACCTTTGTCACACCTTAATATGCTGCAAGCAGATTCTCTAAAGCCTCTACAAAGTTTTCTGAGATTATCGGACAATACTCAGTGATCCATGCTGATCGATACTGATCCATAAATCCAGTTATTTGATGATCATATATGCATTATGGAGAAGCAGAGACAGGTAAAACTGACAGGCCTCCATTATTTTCCTTTTCTTCATAATATGATGTTAGATTGTAATTGTGTGGCACTGATTATACATTAATTATACATATATTTATTTACATAATACTCTTATTTATATTTTTAATTAATATATATATGTATATATTATACATATTTAACATTTCCTTAAATAATTTTAAAAAATGAAGTTAATAGTGATATTTCAGAGTAAATTATAATGTATCTTTAAAGAATTGTTGCCTTCTTTTAGAAGAAGAAACGGGATAAATCACGTCATTCGATCCTGGAACGCCAGATACCAGATGCTCCTACGCTAGAAGAATTTGAATGTCTGCTTGGAGAATCGCCGACAAATTATCCCAAGGGTGAAGCTGTAGAAGATATAGAGAGTGAATTGCATTCGGCTGCTATTGATACAGAAATTTATGAAAAACAGGCTGCTGAAAGAGCAGCTTATGAAAAGAAATATAGTCAGCAAGATGAATCAACAAATAAGGTATTTGAATTACCAATCAAATATTCAATATTCATTGATATACATATATACAGAATGTTTTTTAAAAAATGAAAAGTGAAAAGATATAAAGTACCAGTACTTATATTTTTTAGGTATTATTATCTGAAAACTCTTGTGATGAAATTGACACTGTCCAACCTTGCCTGGAGTCTGAAAACACTTTAGACGATCAAATAGATCAAGTGCAAGAAAGTATTTCCACAGTTCAGCTGATAGACATATCGACTATCCCAGAAGAACCCAGTCATACAGTTCAAGAATTTGAAAATACAATCAAAGAAAAGATTATATGTCATAAGACAAAGGAAACCAAAGTTTTAGATACTAAAAAAGATACTGCTAATGCATTTAAAGATGTCAGACCATTTACAGAGCAAGAATTGGCCTCTTTATATTACAATCAGGAGCTAACATTAGTAGATGCTTTTATTACTGAGTTTACGGAAGCACAATTGAGATGCGCACTGCTAAAACAGCAGCATAAACTGTATGAGCTGCTGATGAGCTATCTGAGGGTGCGAAACCACCTGGTCTCAAATTCTTACGAATTGGAGCGTCTAAAGAAGAGCTGTCGAGAGACGCAGAAGCAGCTTTGGTGTCTAGAGAAGACATCAGAGACAGAAAATGGCGAGTGTCAAGATGGCAATCCCGTCACTGCTACTTATGAGTATTCAATTGCTCATTTCAATCAGCAGACTCTAGTAACGCTCTCCAGGACACTATCTGCTATCAAGGACACGCTACACGATAGCCAAACATTGTACTGTTATGAGGCTGAATCGTTGCGTCTGCAAATTGAACATTATGTACAAAGAGTCACTATGAGCTTCAACGTAAGTTGTTTTCTATTGAAAACAAAACTTAGATCAAAATGTTAACTATTCAAACATTCAAGATTTCTGAAATTCAGTTAAATCAAACTATGTATGTGGTCTAATAGCGTTTTCCCTTGACTGTACTAGTGCACATTGAGTGCATATAGAGCTGTCATACATAAATTGACATAAAGATGTATGTTTAATATAAATATAAAAACGGATTAAACCATGAAATCCTCAATACATTTTATTGTGCTATAAATAGAATCTATTTTATATATATATATAATTCGAAATATTTGAATTTTACTTCCACACGATTTAAATCAGTGTACAACAACTTTAATATGCACTCAGTATGTACTAATGCAGAGCCAAAGGAAAATGGTATAAGTTAAAAAGATAAGCTATATTAAGGTTCTACATGAAGAATCAGTGATCTTACAATCGACACGTCCATAGACTGATTCTTTACACAGCTCAAAACTTATTCAAATCTTTTTTCTACTTTCAGGAGTTTGCTAATCTTTCGCAAACCGCTTCAGCAAATCTTTTACCAGAGCAATCATCCCAAACTCCTCCCCAATTGATCGAACTCAGGATGTGCATAACTATCCTGTTCAACTTCCAACGCCGAATTCTCAAAGATGGCAAATTTGTCACAGACACCAGAGAGTGGTTGTCAAAACTGATAGCGGTGCTCTTGAGAGTCGCAACCTGGCAGGATTTGCTGAACCATATACTGCGATGTCCTGGTGGCGTGATGAACTGGGCCAAGTCCTTCGTACAAGTGCCAGTACCGCCAAAAATTTCGGGATTGAGTTCTTCGCCATTTAATGATCCATATCTTGATCATATTATTGCCACCCTTGCAGTAATTTTGTTGCCGATCAAGGATCGAGATAAATTCCTGGAACAGGTAAAATTAAGAATAAAATATTCATTTTAAGAAATCAGCATTTTAACTTCTTTAATTCTTATATTCTCAACTAAATTTGCTATGCAGGTACAAGTATCCTTGCAGGACACAACAAACAATCCAGGAGATACAGTGTGGGTAATGTTAGATGAAGAGGGTGAAGAAGAGGACGAAGATATCGCCAATGTTGGCGCCGTTTTCTTTGAGAGTGATCTGATTTCTCTTCTCCATCAGATTCCATTTGACAAGCTCTTCGAACAGGTGTTGTTCATTCAGCACCAAAATGACAAATATGAGCAGGAAGAGAAGGCCATCACAGATCATCACATGTTGCGTCTTTTCGCGTTTTATGGCACACTCGTCAAACTTTTAAAGCAAGGTCTGAAGTCATATGATTCGCCAAGATATAGACAATTAGCGAAAAGACTCAGCGCGTTGATCAGAGATGTTGTTCAGTACGCCAGTGATCAGTGGGAAGCTTTTGACAAGAGCCAAGTACGTAAAATTAGAATCTATGTATTTGCAGAATTCTGCAGGTATATATTAATCAAGCAATCACAAAGACATGCGCCGTATACTTCTTTTGTTATTAATTTTATTTCAATTTATTAAGAATGTAAATGAATATATTATACAGAGAGTTGAATATATTATAGTTTCTTTCACAAATTTATAATTTATTGCATATTTTGTTTTAGAAGTAATGTTAGTAGTCAATTTTAGTAGTTAGAAAGGTCAAAAAACGCGAACAATATTTATTGGATCTTTAAAAATAAACTAGTTTATTACAACATACATTAAGAATTAAACTAGTTTTTTATCTATAAATTAATCGGAAACATTTCGACTTTATTAATTGTAAGTACTTCTTTAGTCCATTTAAAAAAAATAATTAAACATTAGGAAAAAAGATACAATATATTAAAAACATGAGGTCATATCACAGGTTGAACACAATACATTTGACATTACAAATAAAATTGTATAAAATTGATAAATCTTTAACGTTATCTTATTATCGAGTGAGTTTAACTATTTTGTCATTAGATGGCGAGAAAATTGTCTCATAATCTCATTTATTTGTCTGTGTTAGATATTGCATGAAGTAGTTAAACTCACTTGACAATAAAATGACGTTAAAGATTTATCAATTTTATATAATTTTATTTATAATGTTAAATGTATTGTGTTCAACCCCCCCCCCCTGTGATATGACTTCATGTTTTTAATATATTGTATCTTTCTTTTCAATGTTTAATTATTTTTTGTAAATGGACTGAAGAAGATTTACAATTAGTACAGTCGAAACATTTCCGATTAATTTATAGATAAAAAGACTAATTTAATTTTTAATGTATGTTGTAATAAACTAGTTTATTTTTAAAGATCCAATAAATGTTGCTCGTGTTTTCTTACCTTTCTAACTACTAATTTTTGCTTAGTAATCTCGAGCTAGATATTTTATATATTTCCGTGTCAATTTTGTTTAGATAACCGACGAATTGATGCTGCTGAAGCTGCAGACTGAATATGATTGTTTTTTTCTAAGAGCGATCCTTTGTATATTCTCGTCACGACGTCTAGGTGCCTGGCAATATCTTGCAGCGATACCATACCATATTATATCACCTACTACTTTGTGGCACATCTTCTATATCCTGCATTCTGATTCTACATCTGGTGACATAGCAACATCGAATATGTCAGTCTCAGGTAAACTATAAATAAAATAATAATAACACTTTTTATAATTATATAATTTTCTTTATCTTTTTAATCCTTTAATAAAAGTATATATTATTAACAGTGATTTGATATTGTAGATTGGGAAACAGCGCTAAGTTGTCCTGAACTTCATAGGCAATTCGAGGAAAAACTGGGCAATATGCCTGGTGATGAGTCTTACTTTCTACTGACAACCTTTGCTAATATGGCCATGGCTAGAGGCCATAAAGACTACAATTTTGTGAGAACAACTACAATTGATCTGTTTCAGGTATGTTAATAAATATACAGGGTGTAACTGAAATAAGGAAACAAACTTCGGGACCGAACTCCCCATATCAAAACATGAAAAAAAGTTCATATGAACGTATGATCGCAAACTCACTTTTATTGATAATGAGATACAGCTCCCCTTTATTAATAAAGGAAAATAAGAAAATAATACTTATTATTATTTAATTATTTATTTTTAGTTTTTAAGTATAACAAATGTTTGAAGTATCTCCCATTTAATTCAACACGCTTGGACACGTCGGATTATGGACTGTTGCACTCTTTCAAAGATCCCGGTGCGATTGCAAATGGTGTCATAGGTAAAGATGTGTAATAGTATATCTTAATTGGCGATTGAACTTTCATAAACTAAGGGCTTTAAGTGTCCTCACAGATAAAAATCTAGAGAATTTAGATCGGGGAATCATGGAGGCCATGTAATCATGGCCTTGTAAACATTTTGAGCTATATCTCAGTAACAGTGGATTTGTGAATATATGTTTATATAAATTGTTTTTTATGTTTTAGTGTGAGGAGCTCAACCCCAAAGTTTGTTACCTTATATTAATTACACCTTGTATATTTAAGTCTAATTAATCAAATAATTTACCACTAACATAATAATAACAAGACCCTCTATGCATTTGATTTATTGCAAATTCAAATTTGATTTTTTTTAATTCAATTATTAAAATTAATCTAATGAATTGAATTATAGATTGGATTTCTCAGCGAGGAAACCCAAGAGTCATGCTCGAAAGACGCAAGGTTACTTTTATCAAACTTGACAAGCAAATATCCTACTCTTTTGTCTGATATTCTGCAAAAATTGAAGGATAATTTTGTATCAGTTGGAAAGGTATAATAATATTTGTTTAAGATTTTCTTTTTATAATAAATCCTTTTTAGAAATATGTCTTTTATATATGTCCACATTATGCAAATTACATTTGTTGCTAATTAGTTTTAATTATATTTTAATGCTCTTATCATGATATCTCTCAAAAATTACTTACACACACACACAGGGTGTTCCAGAATATTTGGGATTATTATTTTTATATGCAGATAGAGTGGACTGAACTGAGTCGAAAAGTCCTCTACAACTTTTCAATTTTCACAATAATTAACGAGTTATTAATTAATAAAAATGTAAATATGTAGTAATTTGGTTCATTAGGGTTAAACAGGTATTTGATATGTTCCAACCTTGTTTTATTAATATATTTAATGCTTTTTACGTCAAAAACAGTTTATCTCTTGATATATTACAAAATTATTACAAAAATGTTTATCACACAAACGATGATTACGAATTTATTTTTATACATATATTTTTATACATTATAATATCTCGCTATTGAATTGATATTTTATGATACATTCTAAATTCATTATGTATGTAATACACAAATCGATTTTATATAAAAGTAAAAACAATTTCTTAGTAAAAATATCATTGCATGTAATTTTGGGATTATATTTTCAATAATATTATTCAATAGTATTTCAATAGTACTATTTTCAATAGTACTTTCAAAAAATACAATAAAAAAACCGATTTTTTTAAGTTGACAAACTGAGATGATCTCCTTAAAAAGTATTATAATCTCGACATTTTAGTAGGATTTTCGATTTAAAATTATCTCAAAAATTTTTAAAAGGCGGTGGTTGTGGGACACCCTGTGTATGTAGAATATAAATATGTAATTATAAGAACTATATAGTATAATATTATAATACAATAATAAGCTAATTTATTATTAAACTTTTAGATAATGTATATATATATATCTTTTTAATGATTTTAGTTGAGTTTGTATTTGTTCACTGAGCTGAAAATAGGAACATGGGTGCCACAACAGCAAGACATAACAATTCTATCCACTTGGTTGCATCAGCATCCTTTAACTTCATCTGAAAGCCATCTTGCTCGATTGATTTTTTCACATTTGAATTGGGGCCTTGACAGGTAAATTATTTCAATATTTCTAAGTTTTCCGGAAATGCAAATTTCGACAAAAAAATTTCATTATTATACAATTTTAAGTCTTTTAAATTTATCTTCTTTTTTTCCTTTAGTATTTGCTCTACTAAAATGTTTTGTAATACAATTAATTAAATGTATCTTTTTTTATTTTCCAAAAAGTTATTGGAATTGTAACTGCAAAGTTACTGATTCAAAATTGTTGTCTAATGTATGATTAATTTTTTCCTTATAGAAATGACAATCTTTATCTTCCGATTGACCTGCACCGACAAGTGGCACTGTTGATTGTCAAACTTACAATGAAATACGTGCCTGATACCCCAATACAAACGGCTTCATTATTAACTGAAAGCATGAAACAAGTTAGTTATCAATTAAAAAATATATATTTTTTTTATATTAGTAGTTCCTTTAATCATTTAAAGCATACATTTTTTTATACACGCGCACACACGCATACATATTAGAATTACCATTTCATTAACGAAACACATTCATTAATACTTTATGAGTAAGAAATAAAATTTATTTTTTATTTTATCTCAGGTTTCCTCAATAGTGAGAGCTCAAAACAGTGAGCAAGCATTCAGCCTGTGGGCATGGGAGATGATGAATAAACTAAAGTTGCACCAGTTGGATCGATCAGAATCCGTGTGTCAATATACTATTTCGAATCCGACCGAGAGTCTCTCTTGCGTGCCTAACATGGAGTCGGACTCTTTCTTGGAAATTTTGATGAAAGGAATACGTGAGAGGCAGCCAATAGCCAGTTACGCCTCCGTATTGATGACCCTATGGGGTCATTCGGTACCACTGATCTGTGTCGAGGGTTTCAGCCAATTGCAGATCTTACAGTGCTACTATAAATATGATCAAGTGCTGATCTGTCTGCATCATGTAATACCGTTGTTTCTTGATTGTCCGGATTCTTTGCTGAAGAACGACAAATTTGTTAGCCTAATCGTGCCTCTCATCAACGCTGATCGGACGTACATGAAGATAGCGAAGAATCTGATCGCTCCGGAATTTCCCGGTCCGGTTCTCAGGCAGTTCGCGAACATGATCGAATCTCATTTGCATCATTATAAACGGTAGACATGAGTGAAATGTATTTTGAAATAATGAGCGGAAGTATAAAATTAAGAAAGATCAAATCTTTTATAGAAAAAACTAATGTAATTTATTAAAAGAATTGATATACAGTATAAATATACAGATAAAAATAGATAATAGATCAATAATTGTATAGATATTTAAAAAATAATTATTTTTATACACTGATTGCAGGTATTGCTTGAACAGCCCAGAACGATTTGTGCACCTATGGCTCAATGTGTTGACACTCGTCCAAGATTGGAATAAAGATCACAATGTTATGTATTTGATGGACAGCGTGATCCGTGCTGCGTTCTTTCACTTAGAATCTAGGGCGATGACAGAAAACATGTTCCAGAATCTCTTTTGTGTAAGTTTTAGCGATCTAATTATATTCTATTATATCATACACGGTATTCTAGAATTAGCAAATAGTAAGCAGCTATTTTGTATAAAAAATTAAACAACTGTAATAATTATAATTGTTTCATGCTTTTAACGAAATATTTATTTTGTTAGCCTGCTATAGACGGAAGTAATGAGGTATGAGATACATAAAAAGCGATTTATTTGTTTTGTTTTTTTAAGTTAATTAATCAAATTATTCAGTTACATGTGCATTTATACTGGTAGTTAAAAAAAATTATGTAAAATTTAAGTATTGTAGACTTACAATTTCTTATATTATAAAAAAAAAGGTTTTTCTCTTTTATTCGATATCTTATATATAGATATGCATAGTTTAATATATCATAAAGTTTGACTGTCATTAACATATTTATACTACATAACAATTTAATAATCGCATTGAATATACCATCTATAGAATATATCATCCAATCGAGCACCGGGATCGTTTGGATCATTTCTGAGCTGGGCAACAGGATCTTCTAACTCGGCGAGTCTTCTTGGTGGAACCGTTCAGACAATATGGCTCGCTTATCAGATTCTTTCCACAGAGCAGTATGATAAGGAGCTTAAGACTGGACTATGGCGCGAGATCCTACGAGAATTGTCTATGCAGTCCAAGATATCTTTAGACGCTGCACTCAAGGTTTAAAATCAAGTGTATGACTGTTGAATGTACTCCAAGTATATAAAATTATAACAATTATTAATTATTTCAGCGGGCCTGTGTAACAGTAAAGATGACTCCGTTTAGCGTAAACAACCTGGCTATTTACCGCTGGTCCCAGCAAGCCCTTGATACACCTATGGATCATCCAATTCTACCTCTCTTGTGGCAAAATTTCTTTAGTTTGTTCCTTGCACGAGCTCCTATCATTCCGGGGTGAGTATTATTATTATCTTAACAGAGCAATAATTCTGTAATCATGCAGGTTGAGGAAAAGTATGGAATATCTCGAAAACGAGGTATTCAAAAGAAAAATGTTTCATTCAAAAGAGTTTTAACAAATGCATCAAACGGTGATACCTATTTGACCTTAAGCGCAGGTATAAAAAAACTAAAAGTTAATTTTAAAATTTTTAATGGAAACCTGTTTTTTCCATACATTTTCTTCACCCTGTATATGTATACAGGGTATCCCAAAATTCGGGCATATAAAGCATATAGAATTAAATTTTTTATTTTAAATTGTTCTAGATCCATGGATAAAGGTGGAGTTGGAGAAAAATTTTTCGAGGGGATGATAAATCTAAGCTACTTGAAAAAGTTGAAAAAACGACTGCATGAAATAACAGAGTATTTCCAAGGGAAAGGAGAAAAGGACACAGACAACGGAAAACCTATTACAGATGATAGGCGTGTATTTTATTTCAGTATCGCAAAGTAAGTGAACATAAAGAAAAAATGAAATATTTCGTTTGAACATATATCTTATAGAAAAATACTTATCACAGGTTTTACAAAACATTGAGCCTTTGGTTGGAAGAACCTCGTCTTCAGGAACCAGGTCTTTATCTTCCAGCGTTGCCACCGCAGTACATGTCGCAGAGGTTAATTCTACTAATGCAAGGAGATCGAGTAAGTCAATCATGTCAGATTTTCAATTCACATACAACTTTACGTAATAGTATTATTCATAATAATACTAATTGCTAACTTCCAGACTCTCTGGTTAGAATACGTCGATTACTGGGCGGTACAGCAGAGTCAGCTCAAGGCCGTCTGCGAGTGGGAGCGCGCGACGTTCCGTGATCCCGAGAATCAGTACCAGAAGTTTTCTCAACCTTCGTCAAATGCTGTAGAATCAATTGATCCTCTTTGCAGAATCTTCCACAGACTAAGTTCCTACGAACAGCCGGTTTTGCCGCCTCCCTTGAACCGAAATCATCCAGTGATGGGCTATGTGGCCAGAGAATGCCTCTATAACTCTACTACCGTTATCGACCTAGTCAAACCACATCTTAGAGTCATTCTTGATTATGCACAGACCTACAATCTCATGGTATCTGAGCATACCGCGGCGGACTGCAATTTCCTCGAACTAGTCCCAACTCTCTATCGAATTTACGAGAACCACGTTACCTTGCACGCTCTTTGTGATACTTCACCATCCAACCAGAGACGTGCTAGATCGGGCACACCTCCCACAGTGCATTGTGCAGGCCCCGGGATCATCGACATCACAGTAAAGAATATTAAATATTAACTCTCTCTCTCTCTCTCTCTCTCTCTCTCTCTCCTTGCAGAAATTTACATGTCGTCTAAAAATATGAAATAATTGTCAGTGTTAAAAGAATTATAAATATGTAGACATATATTTTTATACAGTAATCTTCATTTAAATAAAATAAGTCGTTTTTCAGATTTTATATATTTATATTTTGTAGGTTGAAGAAGCGCACGTTAGTGAAGGTGTGGATCATATGATAACTCAAAATCGGGCCGAGTACGAAAATCTCTTAGTGAAAGCTAGTCAACCACCACCCAGCAAGGTCACTTTAGGCTGCGTTTTCATTGATCATTTGATCGCGTAAGCAGTTTAATCAATTGATTTATTTTGATCCTAGAACGTGAACGCATGATCTAAATCTGTATATATAATATTTCACATTTTAGTAATTAAATTATTAATAGTAGCAAAATAAATTGCATACTTTTTAAATCTCATCTATACATAATATTTTTCATTCATTAGCATGCTGGAACAGGAATTAACTGTTAGTCGCACTAATGAAAATACCGCTGTATTGCGGAAGGTACAAGAGAGTGGAGTCAGACTATTCTATCATTTAGTAGAATTCTATACAGAAGAAGCAGCGCTATGCCCTCCCACAAAGCAACTTATAACTACTTGCTTGGAAAAATTAGGCCAGGTACATATTATTTTTATCTAAAATTATATATAATTATGTAAAAATCACACTCATACTTATATTATTATTAATTAACTGTCTTAGTATTTGGTATTTCCTTTTTACATTAACGTTTTTATTGTTAATAGTATGTTGATAGTATGTATTTAATTGTTCTTAGTATTATTTACATTTTTTATATTTGTTCATAAGAAAGGTCTTAAATTTAATATTTAATAAAGGCCCCCTTGTGGAATCTTAACAAACCATAAAAAGTTGTTTAGGACCCACATGAAATAGTAAAACCTATTTTATATCCCAAAAGTGCTAGAAAAATAGATTTTTTTTTATTGTGTCTCCTTTTGTAAGTTGAATTTTCTTGTATCACCATAGAACTTATCATGAATTGGATGCATTGCAAAAGTTTCTGATAATTGGACTTAAAGGTTTTAGTTTTAAAGGTCGTTTATTATGACTCTATTATTAAAAATGGAAAAATAAAAATAGGGGATCTAAAATGACATCCTTGACATATAGTTTTATATATAAGGTTACAATAATTAAATTTTTTATTAAAGTGAATCTGAGCGTACTCTTTAAGACACGCTGATTACGAATCCATTAATTAAACGGAAAAATCAATGATGGATTCAAAATGGTCGATCCAAAATATTTGTATTCAATTATATACAATATATAAAGCCATATATTTAATATATTTCAAAAATGAAAAATGCGTTATCTTTCGACGTTCTATTGTGTACTGTTAAAGTAGGATTAAGATAATATATTAGCTATATTAGGATTATTAGGAATACTTAGATATCTGTTAATCTTTTTTTGAACTTTATACAAGATCTCATAAAACAAACTTGAATTGAAATAGGCAAAAACGAATTATGAATTTATGCAAGTATGAATTTATGAAATGCAAGAACTATGAATCTAAACGTATACAGGATGTTGGAAAACATTTTTCAAGTACTGAGGATTTTCGTTCTATTTTCAGTTATTCATCAGCGGCGAGGAAGCCCAAGGTCCACAATTACTAAGCACTATAATCCAGAGGTCTAATCTTGGAGGTTTATTGGGGCCACACTTTACTCCTGTCGCCGGGGGAGCCTCTACATTCTTACAGATGTATCAAATCGTCGTGGATTTATCCACCTGTTCTAATGTCGACTTGTGCTTCGTATTGCTCTCGAAGGTGAATAAACTTGAACTGAATATCATTTTCGATTGCGACTATTAGATTATTAATATACCAGTTGTTGCAAAGAATATTATTAAGATCTCGATGGTCTAAAGACTTAGGACGCTCGCACAGAATGCAAGAGATCCAGGTTCAATCCCCAGCCGAAGTAATATTTTTCGCAACAAAATCATTTACAGATTTTAATGTATTATTCAGTATTATTAAGTTCTAAGATGTCTATGAGCATCGAATTATTAAGTCAATTTAACTTGTGATATTACTACAATAGTTCAATGCGAGATTTGCGTTTCAAGACCGAAAAATCATTTCGGCATGCAGTTTAAATGACTATACATAGAATATAAATTTACATAGAATTATTCAAGCATTTAAGATCCAGTTAGACCGTTTAAAGACATTTTTCTTCTATTGGTTGTGTACTCACGATCCTACGAGATTCTTAGTTTAATATAGATTCTTATTGTTTCTATTATAGTTTGATGTTGGCAGCTGGCTAAACTATCGCCGTCCGCGATTGAGTGAAAGATCTACCTTCATAGATCTAGTTTCCAGAGCATTATGCAATATTGGTTTGAATCCCGAAGAAGAAAAGCTAATGCTGCATGAAGTGAGTATCCTCTTCAGTTATTCGTTCCAAAGTATATTGGATCTGAATTTTAATTCAATAAAATCAAAATATTGTTACATTTATTTCCATTAAAAGAAAAACGCAGATAAAATTATGATCATTGATGCAGCTGTTTCGAAATCACTTACGACTCATTCTCCTACACGAATTCCCCGAGCATTATGGTGAGGTCTTAAGTGCAGTGCTGAGAGGATCCGAGAGTCAAAATCTGTCTTTAGATGTGTGGCGCGACTTGTTGGGAGCACTCAGCAACAAGCCGAAGAATAACGCACCCTCCCAGAACCCTCTTAAAATCAGAGATGAGATCAGACACTACGCTACTGAACAAAGACTGCTATCTCGCCAAGAGGTTTGATTATATGTGTATAAAAAAGAAATTTTTTTCTGTTTCACTGCTTTGTTTTATACGTAATAATAAAACAAAACTTAGCATCTGGTATGATACATACTTTTATGCGATTTCAGATGCACGATACCGCTGTGCTTCTAAGCCGACACTTCATGAAAGAGAGATTGCAATATGGATTATACGGGCTTTATCCAAAGTATAGAAGCTACAACGAGCCATTGACTATTTTTTTGGGTATGGTCGGCCACGCTTTAGTCGTATTGACGCTGCAAGCTGATCGAGGATCACTTGCCGATCAATGTAAGCAAATTTTCCTATGGAATTTCAAATATCTTAAATAGTCGCATAGTAATTTGAACCTAAAATATGTAAGTCACATTTAAAAAAAAAATCATTGTATATATTCTTTCAGTGTGCGATAAGATTTGGCCAGTGTTGAGCGAGATGTTTGCGCCATGGATTACTCCGTACTGGACGAGGAACCTGCGAGAGCCGACGGCCGCATGGATTCAGCAATTGACGGACGACAGGTCGGTGTTGCTACCGTGGATTATTACCGACGGTCCTTACGCGAATCGTACGATGGCGATGTTTGCCGAGTGTATTCGTTTCATCATCGATACTATGCCGGCATCCAGCAAGATTCTCAGTTTCGTATGGCAGTTCTACGTGGCCAACTATGCTCACTCATCCGTCAAGGACCATGTATTGAATGTTGTGCATGGTAACTTGTTGTCTCTTCCTTGGGATCGCTTCTACCCCGCCATCAATGATATCGAGTTAATGATCAAGGTCATTGATCAGTATCTGCCGGACTGCCACTTGTTCCTCGGAAGCATCTTCACTTGGGTCAACTGGTCTGTTTGGATCAACGAATTAATGACCACGCAATCGTTGCCGGTCGCTGCTAGGATGCACGTTTGTCTGCTGAATTTGTTGGTGAAGCTCTCTAATGAACCAAACGTCAGACAGGTAAGAAAGAAGCGAGTAGAACATGGGGCAGACATACGTCGATATACAAAACTAAAGTACGCTAAAACAATTAATTGTTGTGCTAATTTTAGTCTTAAAATATTTCTAAAATTATTAAAATATCTCGATCCGGAGTTTATTGCTCATTGTTTAAGTTAAAAAATTCATCAGAAGTGTGCTATTGCTCTGTGGTAGTCGATAATGGTATACCTATAATTATTCTTGATGTTTCTTTGCAATATCTTAGTATAAAAAATAGCAAAAAAATTTTGATATATATTTATGGTATATAATTATACTTGGTATATATTACTATATGTGTTTTGGAAGTGGGAATGCTAGCGTAATGTGAAGTCAGCACCCCCATTTTTAACATTAATTTCCTGCGATTGGAAAAGACTATTAGATTTGGATCTAGAACAAGGAATCAGCAATAAATTAGCACTTAATTATGATATATAAGCGAACTTTTTTTTTAATGATGCCAGTTTTATAGAGATCTATCTGACGTTATGAGAAATTTCGGCAGATTACACTTTTTGGCAGAAATAAAGGCTATGCCTCGGGTTTCTCTAACTCTAGAACTTGAAAAATGAAGTAAAATTTGAAAAATTAGGATCCAATTTTCAAAAAAATTTTTAAATATAAACTAGGTAAAGCATATACTAAAATAAAAATAGAACTTCAACCAGTCCAATTAATGTTCCAGAACGAGAAAGCGGTGCAATTAGTTACGGAAGCCGAGAGCTTTTCTTGGCATTTAATTGACGCCACAGCGTATGACCAAGTAATTAATTGGCATGTGATGAGTTGCGATCCCAAAGTGATCCTATGCCTGGGTAAAGATCAAACTCATGCTATCGATGTAGCTGTCAATAAGTGAGTCTAATTCATAATGTATTCACAGCGAACTTATGTATTCATAAGAACTAATACCAATATTGAATGTAAAAATAATTTGATATACACAGCTTGCTGAAAATAGCAGCAGCTTATGACTCTACGGTGAAACATTTTCATCCTACCACTCTGAAAAAAAGACAGATGTATGTACGTTCATCGATAAAGTTGCTGATCAACTGCACTACAAGACACAAATCCCTTCTCTCAACTAACAATAAAGCGTTCACTAGCATGTTATCGCGGATGCTCGACGAGATGGAAATCGTCATCACTAGCAGTGAGTATCAAAGTTTCAAAACTGACCAATCTAAAAGTTTAAGATCCTATAATACTAGCTTGCTTATATCTAAATACTGAAGAGGTTAGCAATCTGAAAACCTTTCTCCTTAAAATATTGCTATAATGTTAATTTTTTTGCCTAGCTGTCTCTGAGTCACAACAGGTTGCCGAAGCCGGACTGCTAATCACTGAGTTTTTGCACTCGATCAACCAAAGCGGAACCTTGATCGATCATCTTCGCAGCAGTTGGACGACATGGCTGCTAGAGCGGACTGCTAGCAGTCCGGTGTTGATGGGAATATTAAGGGTAATCGGAATAGCAGTTGCTTCTTCGTCCACTCTAGGTCACCTTATGGAAGCTGCCTTGGAAGCTTACTTCAAATACAATAGTAAACGATTGATCTATTCTTGTGTAACAGTTCTATCTTGTTTTGTATCAGATTTAACTTATTTATTTATAATTGATTATATATACACTTTTAGTAACGGAAGACGTTCGACCGACGTGGGCGTCAGTGTTGATGGTCTTACAGCCTGTAGTACCGCGTCAGCCGCCATTAGAATCCGTACTGGTGTCAGAAGGAAGATTGCTAGCCCTTTACTCCGTATTGCTGAAAAGACTTCCATCCTGCAGAGATATCCGAGAAGAAGGCATGCTTCTGATTAACTTAGTGGACTGGATTAGTGCTATTAAAACCACGTAAGTATTTCCAGAAATTAAACAAAATAAAATTCTGAGAAAGTTAATCTCGTTTATCTAGAGATATCGTAGAAGACAAACTGCCTTTGCTGTGGGCAAAAGCATGCGAGCTGGCCTATAGACAGTGTCGATACAGTGAGAACACAGTGATCGCTGCCAGAGCCTTAAAGGGATTAGCACGAGCATTACTAACAGTAGCGGATGATGCAGGACAAGGATGGGGTATCCTTGGGGCTATTGGATTAAGAAAAGGTTCTCAGCTCACCGTACGGTAAGTTGCAGCGATGTAACTATCGAGAAAAGTAGATTTTTATTCTCTTCATATATTTAGCACTTTTTTCCATTAAATTTTCAGGTGCAAGTTCCTAAGTCGTGCTATAGCTGTCTATTGCTTGGCACAATTACCGGAATCTAAATCCGATCAGCAATTAGTGAGGTATACTTCACACTCGCCCGGTGTAGCACCTTCAAGGTTGACCGATCCAGACACAATGGAGATTCGTCCTAGCACAGAGGCTGTGAAAGCAATGCAGAATTTGGAAGGGCTCCTGGTAAACAAGCAGTACGCGGAGCTGCGGGGAGACGTGGAAAGAGCCATTAGACTCATCAAGGATTCTGCCAATTCTCTTCATAATGTCGTTGAAATTGTTGGCATACTCGCCATGGAGCTCTACAATCAAAGATACCTACATGTGCTAACAGAGTGATACTAGTTTTATTTATACATAGATTCAGTGATAGACTGATAAACGCTTTGAATCGTTTCAAAGCGTAATACATGACCTCGTAAGATTTTTGATCGAAAGCTGAGTTTTGAATCGCTCTATGACGTCTTTTAAAGCATTTTTAATTCTTCACTATTGATTTTAATATTTTAAGCTTTGCAAATTTTCAATAATTCAATAATTAAATATTTTAAGGAAATTCTATAAATACTTTCAGGAACTTTCACGATGAATTGCTTGAGAACTTGTGAATGCTCATTACGTAAATTTTACCAATGCAATGACGCGTTTAAATTGAATGCTATAATTATTCATATCAATCTTGGAGATTGAGATTATATTACGATTATTCGTTTATATTAATATTCGATCGAATTGAATCTTAATCTCTCAAGAAATATAATTGTGATATAGTTTCGATTTTAAATTTAATGCGTAATATAGACTTAAAATAAGTCACGCGCATATTTGTTTTATTTAAATTTTTCAGGTTTGTATCGATCTAGTTACGAAGTTTTTTGATTTGAGACATATAAAATTTAGGATGCATTCAATTTAAACGATCATAGTCAAATAGCTATATCAATAGTATATAATTGAAATAATATTTAAGGATGCAATGGTTGTTTACACTTAATATAAAATTTATGCATTCGACTTGCGTCATCGATACTTCGGTACCTGTGTATATGAATTCTGTGTTACACCAATAAAATATTTGATTTATATTTACGTATTACATTAAGATTCTGATAACACAGTTATTATAATTTCGTTATTTATATCGCACAGAGTCGTTCAAGAACAATGGTTGTCATAAAAAGTCGTTGACAAATGAATAAAAAGATTATTAAAGATTCTTCAAATTAAATCGCATATAAAACTACTATATAATTTAACATACATACGAGACTATTATTTTTATATAAGATGCTTTTAAATTGATATTACAAGATTTACAAACTATTTTTGTGGTAACACTGTGGACACACGATTTATAATATTTTGTTAAAATTATAAAACAATATATATCTTATCTTGCATAGTTCCATAACAACATTCATTAGATTATCGCCTTATTCTGATGGAGTCAAGAAAGAACTACGTATAAAAACTTCGTTAAAATATATAAGTTACTTTGTTTCTTAAAATTCAATTGTCATAATTATCATACTTTTAAAACGCTACGGCGTGCATCTCGTAGCAGCTGCGAAGCTTCGCTGAGCGGGTACTCGATCAGCTCGCACTCAAACTGATCACTGAAAGCGTTTCTAAAAATCGGTAGCACGTCAGCAACCGTAACATCCATGTCCAACTCTCTAGAGATACTGGTTACACTCTTGCCTTCGATGCCACAGGGCACAATGTAATCGAACCACTTAAGATCAGTATTGCAGTTGAGCGCGAGGCCGTGGGTAGTAACATAACGGCTGCCGTGGATGCCTATGGCACAGATCTTGCGATCACCAACCCAGACTCCTGTGTCAGGCGAGGTCTCGGCCTTGATACCAAGCTCGGCGCACACACGGATCACCATACGTTCCATTTCATGCACGTACCACTTGATACTGGTGTGAAATTGCTTGAGATCGAGCACTGGATAAGCCACCAGCTGACCGGGTCCATGGAAGGTGATTAATCCGCCGCGGTTCGTCTTCCAGAATTCTGCACCGAGACTCCTCAGCTTCCTCTCGTCTTCTTCCGTATATCCTTTGCTACGTATCCCTATCGTGTACACTGGCTCATGCTCCAAGAGCAATAGCGTATTTGCTACTGCGTTCAAATGTTTATGATGATGATCTGATAAAGCCTTTTGTAATTGTAGACTGACTCCGTACGGTAAACGACCGGCTAGTAAGACTTTTACCACTCGTGAATGCATCCTGACGCTCGATGACATTAAAATGAATATTTTTAAGGCCAAAAAGCAAGGATTTTGTTAGCTTGAAAGATTTAGCGAATTGTCATCGTTTTGGTTCTCCTTTTCTATAGTAATGGCCTTTGCATCAAGTGTCATATATAGCAGAAGGGATACCTGCAAATGTGTGAAAGTTATTTTGGATGATGAAAATATTACCAGTTGTTTAATGATTATATTTTTATTTATATAAAATCCTTTCATCATTTTTAAATTATAAATTATGACCTTGATATTTTTACATTTTTTTTAGTGACTATAATTGATATTATCTATTTGAATATTTAACAGCTTTTTCGTATTAAAATAATGTTTTTTACGTTTCATATGATTTTATTATTTATACGTGTATCAGTGTGGCTTCAACTAATTGTACGTACATAAGCATCCGTGGCTGCGTAATTTTTCTGGGCGTTGCTGAGAGGTTGTATATGCCATTTACTCATTCGCACGTCCGGACTTTTGTTGATTTTTTTCTTCAACTAAACGCATAAAGATTTTGTCCCAATTTTAATTTTATCTTCAAAATTCTGTAAAAACAACATGAAGAAACATGTAATACCAAATAAGCAGTCAATTTTTCCAAACTCCAACGGCAAGATCGCTTCAAAACACGATTAGCGTAAGTCCCGCAGTCCAGACAATTATTCTCTACCACTTTCTGAGCAGGAAACTCTTTGAAATCCCTCCCTAACTTCCACACGTCGCTGCAAAATATTAAACATGTGATTATTGATATTTTTTTACAGGAGAAGCATTTGCGAAAGAATGCAGATAACGCCAAATGAAGTTTGCAGACAATATTAAGTGAAAATGGACCGAGAAATGTTTAACACAAATGAATGAAGGAGGGCTATATTCGATAGAAGCCGATTTTCAGTTCAAAAACAACAATATCATCACCTCGGTGATTGAACTGATAAGACGCCTACACGAAATTCGGAAGATCCAAATTCGAATTTCAACTGAAGTGATATTTTCGCATAAATTATATACACCATTTTATTACAATGTTGACATTTATTACCGTGATATTAAATTGCTTGCCAACTTAATTTGTGATATTATATACTCCAGCTTCAGTCTGAGTGTGTTCCAAGCGCATTTATTGGAACTGAAAATCGTAAAAATTTATACAAAAATATTAGTCACCAAAATCCGCCTTAATCGATTATGGCCCTCACATTTATAGAATTTGGATTAAGTATTTCAACGATCGAGGCAATAATATAAAAGGCATTAATTTTTTCGTCATACCTTAGTTCCGACTTTGTTCATTTGTATTGAAGTTTGTAAAGTAACAAAACAGCGACTATAAAGTAAGTCTTACTTCAACAACAAAAAAGATAATGCAATATATATAAATAAAGAAAATACATATGTATATACCAATGAGTTTCGATATTACGGCGTACACAATTACTGGTTCTCGATAAACCGAGTCGAATGTGATAGCATAAAATCCTTTGTTCAATGACAATTAATCACATATGGAACTTGACGAGCAGAAAGTAAGAGTGCTTATAATGTTGTAATTTTATAAAAAATTCTGCAGATTGTAAAAATTCTTTCGATTATTAATAACAATGGAAAAAATTTTAACAGTCTTGATGAAAGTCTCATGTAATACGTATATTTTTATCTATAAGTAAATTATTTTAACTCTAACACATTGAAAAAATAGTAAAACAAGGTCTTTCTGGAAACAATTTATCTCTCAAACAATACTATTCTCTAAAAAAAAAATGGAAATAGATTATTCAGTAATTACTGACTTTTTAATATTGACGCCAACGAGCTTGACTTTCGAGTGACACAGGAGTTCAACGAATGCTGCTGGGAGCTTCTTCAGCAAATAGACATACAAGAGATAACACACACTGTCCTCCAAGCAAATTTGCACCAGCGCTGTTTTTCCACTGCCAGTTTGGAAATTAAATGGCCACTCCAGATCGAAACCTATTGGCACGATCTCCTTCTCACTGCGCTTCACTTCTTGTCTAAAAGAAAGAGATTAGAAAAATATATATAACCCAGGAGAGGAGGGTTTGAAACATTTTATCTCAAATTTCTTTTATTTCTATGTCCAGGCTTTAGGGTGCTATTTCATTTATGTGTTTTTGTTGTATGACAAATGTGTGCAAGAAAGAGAAAAAAAGAGATCCAATCTCTTTATCCTACAACCAATCAATAGGATTGAAAAATTTGTCATACGACAAAAATGAAATAGCGGCCTTACTCTTTGTATTTCATAAATTCTTTTTTTATCTCTTTGCACTTTTGAGAACTATTCTACTATCTTCTGCACTCACATGAGATCGTCACAGATCTGAGCACAGTTAAAGAAGTCATCAGCATATTGAATGCGTCCCTCGAAGACAATTGGAGGCAAAGTTTTTATGTCAGGCTCTTTTTCAGGTTCTGGTTGCTTCAACTTTTCCTATACAGAAACAAGAAATCAATAATTATTTGTATTTTTTAGAGAAATTTTTACCTGGAACTATCTCAAGTAAAACATAAAATGACCTGGATACATAATTATTATTATCATATTTTAAATTTCGTTAATTAAGAAGTTTTTGGAAATTCACATTTTTTTTTCTTGTTATTTAAATATCTATAATTCTCTTGGCCCCTGCAAAGTTTATAATGTAATAAAATATTTACTATTTGGCTCTTTAAACAAAAAGTTTATCAACTCCTATTCGAGACAGAAATCTCAACACAAACCAGATTATTTCCAGTTAATGTATTCGATCCGAGTTTAAGTTTGAAAGTGAAAAATGCTCCATCACTTTGTGCTCGCACGAGGCTGTGTACCCTGTTACCAACAGTCCACTATCAACTGTTTAATCGTCGTACACACCTTGAGATGTTGCGGCAAGTTCCTAGGTGAGCGACGCAATCCAGCGGATTCTGCGGATACCTACAATCAAAGACTGCAGTCAGGATTACGAAACACGATGAAGAAAAATGAAGACGAGTCAGATCGTGCTCGTGTAACTAACCTCTTCCTTGATGAAGCTGTCGGCACGTGTCGTCATCGTGATGGTGGAGAGAAGGCGGATAGCGGTCGACACTGCGCCCGCTGCAATTCAAGTTCTGAAGAATCGGCTCTGATGTCCAAATTCGGTCGTAAACGCGAGCTTCGTCCTGCCGCCAAATTCTCAACGGTGCCATTGTGCCACTCCAGCCGCTAGGATTCTACTTGCCGGTTTCCCGCCAATTTTCACCT